ACATGTGTGCAAAAGGCATAACCTGTGTGAGAGCTAGCGGCTGTCTTAAGCGAGCAGTTGTAAAACTAAATCCGAAGAAGAAGAGATTGGGTTTATACCCCGCCCTTCACTACCCAAGGGAGTCTCAGAGTGGCTTACAAACTCCTTTCCCTTTCCCTCCCCACAACAGACACCCTGTGAGGTAGGGGGGCTGAGAGAGCTCTGACAGAAACTGCTCTTTTTCAAGGGCACCTCTGACAGAACTATGGCTTGCCCAAGGTCATCCAGCAGGTGCAAGCGGAGGAGTGGGGAATCAAACCCGGTTCTCCCAGATTAGAGTCCGTGCACTTAACCACTACACCAAACTGGCTCTCCAGTTTGGATATGCCTCTGAAATCCATTCTTTGGTTTTATGTATTCATGGTTCAAATGGGGAATCCATGTAGTACCTTTTATTACCATAGGGCCATCCTAATTAAGGGTGCATGCTTTTGATGGAAGCAAGCAATGATACACCAACAACAATGCCAAACTACTTATCTGAGATAATACTTACAAAGTATAGAAGGACATTCATGCTAGTGCGCCTGAATGCCCTACCTTCAGCTCTGATGTCAGAAAGATTGAATAGGATTTCATACTCAGATAGACTCTGTAATTGTGGCAGCAGTAAAGTTGACTCTATTGATCATATTTTGCTTGAATGTCCCAAATTTTCAGCTCTAAGAGATGAACTGATTTCCCCTTTATTTAATCAGGACTTCCCCTCTCCAGAAGCAAAATCATCCTGGTTACTTAGAGATGAAGACAAATGAACTATCCTGCATGTGGCAACATTTCTAGCCGCTGTTGTCAAATCACATGACAACTTTTGCAGTAGCAGTCTTTAAATTCTTCCATGTTTTCCTGTGGAATGAGGTTTATTGTGGGATGAGGGTTTGCTGTTTATGACTCTGGTTGCAAAAACAGTAAAGAGAATAAATAAAGATGCATGGTTTGTCAGCCCCATCGCTCAAGTCAAGGTCATGATATGTTGATGTATGCATGTAGGCTTGTAAATTTCTTGAGCTCACTCGGAAGTCTTGGGCATAATTCTCCCCACTCATCCAACAATGCTCTTAAAAGCTTTTGAAATATAAGGAACGATAAATTGTTTATATTTTGTAGGTTTTAAAAAAAGAACCAAATACAGGTTTACACTGCAATCACACATGCTAAATCAGTGGTGGCGAACCTATGGCACCGGAGCCAGAGGTGGCACTCAGAGCCCTCTCTGTGGGCACGCGTGCCATCGCCGCAGCCAGGCCCAGACCATCGTTAAAGTGTCGAATTCTCTGCCAAATAATTTTAAGTAAATGAAAGCATTTGGGATTGCTTTCCTTACTTTGTTTGGATCATCTTAAATTAATGTATGAGTTGTTTTTTCTAAAATAAAACTTCAGTATTCAGGTTAAATTGCCGTGTTGGCACTTTGCAATAAATAAGTGGGTTTTGGATCGCAGTTTGGGCACTCGGTCTCTAAAAGGTTCGCCATCACTGTGCTAAATAATCCATTTTCAACGCACTTTCTAATTGGATTTTGCCAGTTCACACAGTAAAATCCAGTTGGAAAGTGCATCAACAGTGGATTGAAAGTGGATTATTTAGTGTATGTGTCCGCAATCTTAGATTGTCAATGGGCAGCAGCATATGCAAAGCTGTTGTCTTGCTTGTTTTTTTCTACTCTGTCTTGCTTGTTTTTTTCTACTCAGCAGTTATGATGAACTTGGTCCTTTGTGTGTGTGTGTGTTCTGTTGCTAATACATTGGTGAGATGCTGCCTATCTTCTTATTCTGTGAAAATAATTGCATCCGTTTCCCAGGGGGAAAACTCTCCACTTTCCTTCATATACCTGAAGAAGTGAGCAGTGACTCACAAAAGCTCCTCCCCTGCCACATATTTTGTTAGTCTCTAAGGTGCTCCTGGACTCTTGCTCTTTTTTCCTGCTACAGACTAACATGGCTACCCACCTTGATCCTTTTCCTTATATCAGAGCTCAGACTTCTCTCTCCCCTTCCCCATTTGAACCCTGAATAAATAAAACCAAACAATAGATTTCAGAGGCATGAAATTGAACTAAGAAGGCCTCTTTTGAGCCAATGAACAGAATGCTGGCATGCTCTTGGGCAGCCAAAGACCACCCACCCCATATATACCATATGACACACTGGGTGCGTTCAGACGGGGCATTTGCAACGGAATAGGTGCCGGTTGGAATCGGTGTACTTACCGGTGTTCACACGGAGAACATCTGCCTTCCGTCCCTAACCGTTGCAAAGAGCTTTACACCGTTGTATTCTGCCACTAGGTCCCCAAGTGGTGGTATCCTGAGTACAACGGTTGTAATCGCTTTACCCCCGTCTGATCGCTCTCCAACCTTGCAGAGCCACTTCCGTTCGGAAGCCTGAGGCTTCCGATTTTCGCCCGCCATTTTTTTTTAAAGGTCGGCGATATGCGCTTGGGTGAAGCTTCGCCCTGGCGTTTGTTTAAAAAGAAAATAAAAGGGCCTTAGCTTAGCGTTTCGGAGGCATCCGGGACCTCAGGGAGGCTACTTTGGTCTTTAAACTTTAAAGGCAAGTCCTTACCTTTAAAGTTTAAATGTAAGACAGGGTTTTTTGCGCATGCGCGAAGATCGCCATTCTGTGGATGGCTGCCTATGCACATGCTCAAACTGAGTTTTTTTAAAAACTCTGACGCCCACTGCATGTGGACGGGTTGCGATGTGCTGCGCAGTCAGGAGGTGAGTGTGATCACGTTTCAGCCGGCATAAACTGCACCGGTTCCAACCGGTACAGTTTATGCCGGCTGAAACGCCCCATCTGAATGCACCCACTGTCTTCCAGCCTCCTTGAACCCAGCCTTTTCCAGCCTCCCTGTCCATCCACTCCTCCTGTCTCATCTTTCATTTACTTGTCTCAGACAATGGGTTTTGGCCATTGGGATCCTTGCAGACTGACCTGAATGTCCCCTTTGCTTTCCTCTCATATTGTCTGTAATAACATCACAGTGCCTGGTACCAAAACAGTTCCGAGCTTTATTGGAACATAGGCGAGGGCTGGTCTGGGCCCTGCTAGGCCGTAACCAGCCACAGCCAGCAACCAACAGAACAAGTAAAAAGGGAAACTAAACAAAAGGCTTTTCCCCCCTAAGGGATCGTGTTAAAATAACTATACCATACAATAAGGGAACATCACAGCTCCCCACTTTATAACACCGTCCGTACAGCTGTTGCCTCTCTAAGCTCCCCTTCTCTGTTTCTGTGAGGGCCCCGTAGCTAGGGAATTTTTTGGGAGGGGCCTTGGGGACCCCACCAGCTAATTAAATGAAAGCACAGTGTAGGTGGTAGGTTGGAGCACTTTGGGGGCAGCCCAGGAGGGAGGGGGCCCAGAAGAAACACAAGGGGGCCTGGCCCCGTGTGCCCCACATTAGCTACGGGCCAGGGGCCCACCCTCTTCTGTTTCGTCCCCCCCCCGTGACACAGAGTGTTGGACTGGATGGGCCTTTGGCCTGATCCAACATTGGCGTCTCTTACGTTCTTATGAGTCTCTTTTCCCATATCCCTTGGTAGGGAGGGCGGGGTATAAATAGAATAAAATAATGTCCAAATGAGCCAGTCTCCAAGTAATTTACCTGTTCTGACATCCAGACATTATTCTCCCCCACCACACTTACTTCCCCCCCCCAACCAATCTTCCTTGTGTTGGTTTTTTTTTTTTGTCTAATTGTGACTGAGGTGGTAAACTCCGCGTCCCAGTTGCTCAGTTTCTGACGAAAGCTTAGACCCAGAATAAAACTTTTATTGGTCTTAAAGGTGCCTCTGGACTCAAAACTTTGTTCTGCTGCTTCAGACCAACATGGCTACCCACCCGAATCTATATCGTTTATGTTGTCAAAATAGGATTTGGTGAATGTTTGGTTGATTCTGGGTTTTCCTTGACAAATGCTGGTTTCGTCACCTTTGCTCTGGCCAGATGGCTTTGTAGATGTGGACCAAGCCAGGATTCCTGCATTGGTACATCATGTAGAGTTGTAAAAAAAAATCTGCAAACCATGATTTCAGATCCCAGTTTGACGAACCCTAGCAAGCTACAGTTAGGGGAGTAAGCCATGTGTACATGACCACGCCAAGTATAGCTCGTTTGTTTAAATAATGATTTCACATTATGTCTGAACTGAGATCTAGTTTTTTGTTATGGAGAGAGGATTTTCTTTTTCTGTACAGGACCTCTTGGCACCCACCTGCAACCTGAAGCAGTTCTACCCGTGAAAACTAGGCCTTTCTCACAATCGCTTTTGTGTATCGGTTGCACATGGTGTGTATCTTCACAGCTCATGTTCCCCTCACTGTTTCACAGGAGCATCTTGCAGTGTTTATTGTGGAGAGCGCACAGAACATTCTTTATGGAGAGCCAGTTTGGTGTAGTGGTTAAGTGCCGGACTCTAATCTGGGAGAACCGGGTTTGATTCCCCACTTCTCCACTTGCACCTGGCTGGATGATCTTGGACAAGCCATAACTCTGGCACAGCTGTTCTTGAAAAAGAGCAGTTTCTATCAAGAGTTCTCTCAGCCTCACCTACCTCACAGGGTGTCTGTTATGGGGAGGGGAAGGGAAAGGAGTTTGTAAGCCGCTCTGAAACACCTTTGGGTAGTGAAGGGCGGGGTATAAATCCAATCTTTTCTTCTTCTCTCATATTTAGGCATTTGGAAGGCTTGTCAGCCCATTGGGTTTTGTCTTTCCTGCCAATTCAATACAAAACTGGATTTTAAAAAACCCTGAAACTGGTACCTTGTGACTGGGGTGAATTTATCCGTACTGTACGAGACAGCCTTAAAGTGTGTCCTGTGCTGTCTGCCTTTTGTTTAGGGAAAACACCCTTCCCTTTGTTGGGATTGCGCTAGGACTGAAATCACACACAACTCCTTGTTCCTGCCCGTTTGTGCATCAGCATCAGTGGGCTGCTTCGGAGATGTCGCCTTCGCCATGGCAATGGAGCCTGGCTGTTGAAGGAAGCTGCTGGTAAGCTTTGTGCTAACGGAATGTCAAACGTTACAGATTCAGGGTGTTCTGTTTACGTATCGGGTGTGTTGGCTAAAGCTGTCTCCTTTAATCCTCTTTTTTAAAAGTGCCCTTCAGCCTAGCTTTTCCTTCAGGTGTTTATGTTACTAGCTGAGGATGCTTTGCCAGGAATGTTTTAGAAAAATCTGGTTCCCAGGAGTCGCAACGTTAAGCAGTAGATTAGTGGTAGATTTGTGTAACTTTCCTCGGCCTTGGATGAGGATTTCTTTCTGTCTTTCTTTGTGTATCATAGAATCACACAGAGTTGGGAGGGGTCCTACGGGCCATCTAGTCCAACCCCCTGCTCAATGCAGGATCAGCCTAGGGCGTCCCTGACAAGTGTTTGTCCAGCCGCTGCTTAAAGACTGCCAGTGAGGGGGAGCTCACCACCTCCCTAGGCAGCTGATTCCACTCTTGCACAACCCTGACTGCAAAAAAAGTTTTTCCTAAGATCCAGCCGGTACCTCTTTGCCCTTAATTCTAAACCCTGACTGCAAAAAAAGTTTTTCCTAAGATCCAGCCGGTACCTTCCTGCCCTTAATTCTAAACCCATTGTTGCGAGTCCTATCCTCTGCTGCCAACAGGAACAACTCCCTGCCCTCCTCTAAGTGACAGCCCTTCAGATACTTCAAGAGAGCAATCATGTCCCCCCTCAACCTCCTCTTCTCCATACTAAAGATTCCCAAGTCCCTCAGTCTTTCCTCCTAGGACTTGGTGTATGTATGTGTGTATGCCTGGAAGTCGTGGTTGACTTCTGGCTACCCCTAATGGGGCTAGGACGTTTCAGAGAGGTGGCTTACTGTTGCCTGCCTCTGCGTCCCAGCCCTGGTATTCCTTGGAGGTCTCCGAGTACTTGCCAGCGTCGGCCCTGCTTACCTTCCGAGATCTGACGAGATCGGGCTTGCCTGGGCTGTCCAGGTCAGGGGGGGTGAGGAACAGTTTCAAAGTACGCAGCAGGTTGCCTTGAAACAAGGTCTGTCTGCTTCACCTGTCCATCGGTTTCCACCCAGGTAATGAGCATCAGTATTCTGAAGGAGTCTACAAAATTTATTTATTTTATTTACGTTATTCATAGTCTACCTTTCTCACAAGGGCTCAAGGCGGATTTCAGCACAGAGTGAATCAATACAATCGACAGAACGGGACACTCAGTAGACCAGGGGTGTCGCCGGCTCTGACATGAACGAGACCTTGTCGGGCTGGGCCATGTGTGTCATATCTGTAATACCAGGTAGCGGAGATATAAACTTTATAAAGGACACAAACGCGAAGGGTGTTTTTTTACTTAAAATAAAAACATGCTTAAAACATTAGCACTCTTACAATGTTTTGTTTATTTAACAGTGCCTGATAACTGATACCTCTTGCTCTGAATTACTGCATCAAAATGTCTGTGCTGTTGCAATCTTGATTTGATTACGCTGTTCAGGTGTGTCTCTGTAAGCCGCAAACCTACAATGATGCAGCAGAACTGGAAGAAGCAGCAGAAGACAGCCCAGTTCCACTGCGGGCCTGATAGAAGCCCTCCGGAGGCCTGATCTGGCCCCCGGGCTGCATGTTTGACACCCCTGCAGTAGACAGTGCAATAGGATTAGGATTGTAGACCCACCCAGAAGTTTAAAAACACAACTGAAATGATGCAGAATTCCATAGTGGGATCCAAGTTTCAACAAGTATTGACCACAGTCCCTAATAATTTTCCTAAGTAACTTTGTTAATCATTTGTAAAGGGGTTAAGTTTTTCTATATCTTAACTAAAATACCTCCATCAGTACTTCATCCCACAGTGTCTTGTGCCAGGATCGAACACATTGGTTTCTTGTTTCCCATGCCCTGGCTATTGGTAATCTTGTACCAGAGATGAGGGAGAATACATTTTTTTATGCAGTAGTTTTTAATTGTCCTGGGGAGGGGCGGAGTTTACAGAATAATAGTCATCTGGCATGACGTTCTGTCTAATTACCCTACTGATCTCCTTATAGATCCGAATCCCAAAAAAGCTGTAGATAATTATATAACCGCTGAGTATCACAATTTGTTCCCTGCAGCTGGTGGCTCCATTAGCAAAGGAAATATCCCTGTTCTTAGCGGCTGTTGTTCCAATAGTGGTTAAATGCAAATACAATTCCAGTATTTGCAATATATGTTGGCTGGAACAGAAATCCAATTTATTTGGATGAGTGCTGGATTTGCTGTAACTATACCCTACACTATTTAAAAAGTCAGCAGGGGAGAGCCAGTTTGGTGTAGTGGTTAAGAGCGCGGACTCTAATCTGTGAGAACCAGGTTTGATTCCCCACTCCTCCACATGCAGCTGCTGGTGTGACCTTGGATCAGTCACAAGTTCTTTCAGAGCTGTTCTCTCAAGAGCAGTTCTCTCAGAGCTCTCTCAGCCCCACCCGCCTCACAGGGTGTCTGTTGTGGTGAGCGGAAAGGAAAGGGATTGTAAGCCGCTCTGAGACTCCTTTGGGTAATGAAGGGCGGGGTATAAATCCAGTCTCTTCTCTCCTTTGACCCTGCGTGTTCTGCGGGGCTCGCCTGTATTCTCACATCTACATGATGTTTAATATAAACGAATCTTGCTAAAAACAGCAATGGTTGCACTCAGGAGACACATGCCAGAACTTTGAGCTGTTTTAAGGACATTTAGGGGACATCAGTTACTGTAAATAGCCTCACTTTGTGTGTTTTGTCCTAATGGTCGAGACTGTTGTCTCTTCAGTGCAATGTCGCTTTGATAGCGACACATTTAAATAGTGGCTAACGAAAGAATGACGAATACCTGTGGGATAAGATTAGCAGTTCTCATTATGCTCCCATGTAGAACACTGCTCCACGTGTTGCCAAATAATACGTGGGGTATACATGTTACTAAACATCACCAGGACGCAGGGGAGCCTTAGTTGTCCTTCCTGTACAGTGATGACAGTAATTCCTCTTTTTAGGGGGATTGCTTTCAAGCTTGTTCCATTGCTGGGGTGAGTCAAACTTGCCTCTGGCTGACACTGACAATCCGTTCAGTTGCCCTGGAGAACTGGAAGCGACAAGAGATCTGGCCACACGTGCAGCCTTTGGAGCACAAAACCTCTGCTCCCATCTCCCTTTCTTGGATTGGGGGATGGAGGAGGAAGAGCGAACAACCCCATGTGCTGCCTTCGTAAAGTAGCTCCGCGATAGAAGGCGCCGCTTGGAAGGTTGTGCCCCTGCTCACGGGGATGACTTCTTGTGTATTTGAGTCGTTCTCCCAGTGGAAGGAGTAGGACAGAAAGGAAATCAAGATCTGGTTGAAATCAGAAAGTCAGACCATGGAGCACAGTGTATTGCCAGCTGCCTGTCCCTGCCAGGGAAAGA